TTTTAAGTGACTTGTAACATGACAATTTTATGTATAATCATTCAATAATTTTGTTTTAAAATAACATTTTAAATTTTCTTCAAAACGATTGGAAATTGTCTCTACCATTTATATATGTGTGTGTATATGTATATATATATATATGTTTTTGAGTTTTAATGTTTGTTTCAAAAGCGACACCTATGTTAAGTGTGAGAGTTTCTGGGTAGCACAAAGGTTGACCACTCAATTAAGAGCCCAAACATGGTATTAGAACCCACCTAGAGTTGCTTCAAAACACAGGGCTGGCAGTCTGCTTCTCCACGCTCACAGCTTGACAACGCATGGAGCGAAGTGCTGCTCTGCACACGAGTGTCGCCGTGAGTAATCATCACAGTGACAGCAGCTAACAGCAGTTTTATTTACTTATTTTATCCTTTTCTTTCCTTAACACTTTCATTAGCACTTCATCCACATATCAAACAGTTCAATAATTTAATCATATAAACAAGAGTTATATAATTATCACCACATTCAGATCTAGAACAGTTCCTTTTTCCTTGTACTTATTGTTGTTCAGGTAATTTTTTCTTTCTAGTTCTGGCAAAAATCTACACAACAAAATATTCCTCGAGTCCACAGCTTCTACAGGTGTAATTCAGTGCCATTGATTATACTCTGTGTTGTGCAACCGTTATTGATAAGCCTTTCCAAATTATTCCTTTACCATTACCATAAACTCAATGCCCCTAAGCAACAGCTCTTTCTCCTTTATCCCTGCTAACCCTTGGTCAAGTTTGGTTTCTGTTTGTTTCTTTTAGCAGTTTCCTTGATACAGTATTCACATATCATACACTTCCGGGTTAAATCGCTTTTTAAAAGAGATGTATATACGTCATCACAATCACTTCCAGTGCTCACTGCCCCCTCCCAACAACAGTTTTATTTTTTTATTTTTTTTTATTTTTTTTACATTTTATTAGGGGGCAACAACAGTTTTAAATGCAAACTTTTAGACAATTTTTTAAAACAGTTTTATTGGGACATAATCCACATATACAATTCAACTGTTCAATCATATCAAGAAGAGAAGAGATGTACAATGATCACTACAGTCAGTTTTAGGACATTTCTTTCTTTGTTGTACTCCTTGTTATTAGTTTTCCCATTTACCCCCACCCCCACCCCCCACCAACCCCCCCAAGGAACCATTAATCCAGTTATTTTCTTTAAAGATTCACCCATCCTGGATTTCATATACCAAAAAGCTAACAACGATAACAAAATCAAGAAAAACTTCAATCAAAAAGAAAGCAGAAAATATTGAAAACTAGAACAACTTTTGAAAGGGTCAAAAGGGAGATCAAATGATCAGGGGTTAAACTTTAACCTAGCTATGTCTCATAACCCACTTTCCAATGCGCACTGCCTGAAGGCAGGCTAGCCCCACCCGTGGTCTGGGTTCAGAGGGGAATCATCAGAGGCGGAATCCACATATATTTCCCCTTCACTTTTTATTTAACTGATAAAAAATGTAAAGGGGCATCAAATAAGATACTACTTTTTAATGTAACTGTATATGCCTTTGCCTGCTACCAAGACTATCCGCGCCCTTTACTGTGGTCAGAGGGATAGTCAGGGGGCTTACTCTACGTGTGCCCTGCATGTGGATTCTGGGCTTCCACTTCATCCGTAGCCTTCTGCTAACCAGGCGTTCACAATTTAAGCTCTGATACCATTCCTGCCTTTTCATTTGGATTCTATTATTTTCCGTTCTTGAATCACACAGGCTGGTGTGCTTCCACGTGGACGTAGACAGTTTTTAACATGTATACACTCATACAATTACTGCCTCAATTAATATGAACATCTCTTTCACCCCTGTTATTCCCTTGTTTTCCTTTGCAGTGAAGCCCTATCCCCAGCCACAGGCAATGACTGGCCTCCCTTTAAGTCACTGATTACTTTTCCTTTTCTGCAATCTTAAATAATTGGAATCATGCAGTCTGTGGGCTGTGAACCTGGCAGGCTTCTCTAACTCGGCACAGGGACTTGAGTTTCATTAATGTTGAAGCACTAGCTCCTTCCTCGTTAATGCTGAGTACTATGCTATTGTACATGGGTTGCCACAGTTTGTTTATCCATGTGCCCATTGATTAACATCACTATTATTTTCTATTTTTATTAATGAAGCTTCTGTGGACCAAGTGTCATTGTGGACATATACCTTTATGTCTCTTGGGTAATTATGTAGGAGTGACATTGCTCGGCCAGATGAGTCATTAGATGAGAAGTTGGTGTTTTCTACAGAGGCTACGTTAAACTCCCACCAGCAGTGAATGAGAGTTCCAGATGCCTTACATCTTTACCAATTCTTTGTACTGCCTTTGATTTGTTTTTTTCTTTTCTGACCTTTAAAATCTATCTCATTGTGGTGTGTGTATGTGTGTGTGTCCAGGTATACATGCACACAAAGACCTGGGGCTGTAGGGGTTGCTTGTGGGACTGCTAACCAAAATACATATGTGTCATGCAGGTTATGGTGGCACCATTTGTTGAGGAAACTATTCTTTCCCTGTGGAATGGAGTTGGCACCCTTGCTAATAGTCAGTTGGCCATAGATCTGTGCCCATTTTATTTCTGGAGTCTCAATTTTGCTCCTTAGGTGCAAGTACCATGCCGCTTTGCTCACTATAGGTTTGTTGTAAGTTTTAAAATCTCAAAAGTCTGAGTCTTTCCATTATGTTCTTCTTTTTCAAGACTGTTTTGGCTAATTTCTTTCCTTTCCTTAACTTCCACCAACTTGGGGTTTCGTTTTTTCTTCAGATTCTTCAGGATGTAAGGTTATTGATTTGAAATCTTTTTTATTAAGGTTATTGATTTGAAATCTTTATTAAAATGGAGGTGTTGATAGCTATAAATTTCCCACTGAGAGCTATCTTCACTATACAAACTTTGGTGTATTGTGGTTTTGTTTTCATGTTGTGCTTTGTTTTTAGTACTCATTGTGATTTTTTTTTCCCCCTTTGAGCCATTGCTTATTTAAAATTGTTTTTTTCAAGTCCCACATATTTGTGGATTTTCAATTTTCTTTCGGTCATTAATTTACAGCTTTGTTCCATTTTGGCTGAAGAAGATAGTTTGCACAATTCATATCTTTTTCAATTTATTGATATGATACTTGTTTTGTGATCCAGCGTAAGGTCTTTCCTGGAAAAATATCTGTGTCCTTGAGGAAAATGTATATTCTGCTCCTACTGCATAGAGTGCTCAGTATGTCTAGTTGGTATATGGTATTGTTCGACTTGTCTATTTACTTATTGATCTATCTCGATGTCCTATCCATTACTGGAACTGATGTTTTGAAGGCTCCAATTATTGTAGAGGTATTTGCATTCAAGTTTGTCGACCTTTGCTTCACATATATTTTGAGGCTCTATTTCAGTTGCATGGGCTTTTATATTTGTTATATCTTGAGAGTGGCCCTCTTATCATTATCAAATGTCCTTTGTCTTTTGTGACAGTTTGTTTCACTCAAAGTCTGATAGGGGATCTGTGTGTGTGTTATTAGTATCTATGAATTTTTGCTCTCTTTTGGTTACTATTTACATAAAATAATTTTTTTCCACCTTTTTACACTTAGCCAAACATACACTGAACCCTGGAATCAGTTAACCTGTGGTGAAAGCTCAGGGGCTTCCTCAGTCTTTTCTGGTTGTACATACTGCCCCTGGCATGTGTGTGGCTTTCAAAAAAAAAATTCCCCTTTTCACACAGGTGCTTTTGAGTGCACTAATTTCCCAAAGAAACTCTACGCAGCTTTCTTCCTAGAACTTACCTGCTATTGTTGTAACTGTAAACTTTTGCCCCCGGCCTCTGCACCTTGTGTGCTTACCTTGCAGTGTTTTTGAGCATTGCCAACTGCTTTTTCTGGCCCGACTTAAGTTTTGAGTTCGCTGGCACAGCAGCAGATCCTTTGCATCAGACCTTCAGGTCGCCAGCCCCTAGACAGGTTCAAATGGACATACACAGTAACTGGAAAATAAGTTCTGTTTTGCTACACTGGGGACCAGGAACAAGGACCCTGCACTGGGACAACAGGCTGCTGGTGAGCTAGGAGAAGGGGTGGAGCAAGGACACAAAAGCTTCAGGAAACAGTTTCCTTTTGTCTTAAATTTGGCTTTTTCTTCATTTGCCATCACTTGGCTATTGAAGACCTTTGGTGTTTTCCAGAATCCTGGCAAAGTTGGCTCTGACAGTTTACATTTACTTTTCAATATTTTTTGTTGGGGAACTGGAATTAGAGCTAGCTACTTCACCATTTTGCCTTAGGTGTGTTTTTTAAAGATTGAGAAGTGTGTATGTGGGTGTTCAAGGGTACTAGACGAAATTATTTGAAAATCCTTCCTAACCCTGCCCTATCCCCTCGATGCCTGGGGCACGCCCCCATGAGGACCATGCGGCAGCGCCGATGTTCTTCCAGAGGCCTGCATGTTTAAAACTTATTTTTCAAGCTTTTTTTCTTTCCCATACAGATAATGATTTTATACACGTAGTATTCTTAAGTTGCCTTTCTTTTTCCACAATTCTATTTTGGAGCCCTTTTCAATTAACTATATGAGGAATTACTTTCTTTTTATGATGTAACATCATCATTCAAGGAACCCTGATGGTGCATTAGACTGCTGACCACAAGGTCAGTGGTTCAAAACTATTAGCTGCTCTTCAGGAGAAAGATGTAACTACCTGTCCCTGTAAAGATTTACAGCCGTGGAAAACCTATCAGAATCAAGTCGATGGCAGTAGGTTTGGGGTTTGGGCCCTTTTTTTTTTCTTGGGTGGGGGGGTCCATCATTTTTAAATTGAAGGTTATTTTTGAGACATTGTCATAATCCAAGGTTCAAGATGTTCTCCTTAGTATAAGTAACACATTCTTCTCGTGAGAAGCACTTGATATTCCAGATTTCTAGGAACCCTGGTGTTCTTACACACATAGTGGCGCTGCAGACACACTTGTGCACAGGTAGTTTTCTTTACAACCCCTTGGAGAAATTTCCCTTCAGTGCAGAAAGAGCCTTCTAAGGCTGCAGAATTGTATACAGGATATTATCTGTAGGATGTCTTACCGTTTACTTAATTAGATCTTTGCTGTGGGCACTAAGGGGTTTGTTTTATTTAGTTTTGTTTTTTAATCTTAAAACTCTTGGCATTAATGCTTCAATGAAGAAGCTTATATGAACTGCATGTACATCTGCAAAGTAAATGCTGAAAACAGAGTGTTGGTCTAAGGATAAGCACATTGGCGATTTCACCGTGCAGAGTTGTGTGCGTGTGCGGCACTGTGTGAGGGCCCGTTTCTCTACATCCTTGGCCACCCAGCAGGCATCCACCATTCGGATCCTACATCGGACGGTGCAAGGTGGTTCTCCCGGATAGACCCGTTTGCTTTCTCCTCCTCCCGTGACACATAAGCTGCTGGAAGCTGTGCTCCCAGCTCCAGGTCGACCCTCCCCCACCAGCCATCACTGCACTGAGGAATGCTGTTGTTTCTCCTTTGCTTTCAGAGCCGGGTTTCTCCATTCAAGGACGTGATCTTCTGCTTCTCTGAAGAGGACTGGTCTCTTCTAGATCCAGCCCAAACTGGCTTCTATGGAGAATTCATTATAGGGGAGGATTGTGGGGTCTCACTGCCTCCAAGTAAGAGTTAACCCCCCTCACCCAGACCAGGGAGCTGGGGGGAGGGCATCTCTCTGTCTCTGAGGAGTCTCCACCCTTCCAAGTCGAAGATAAATTCCCAAGATCAGAGAATTGGGTGGGGGCGGGGCAGCTGGGACAGGGTGTCAATGTGCTCCATGGATGGTGGGGTAATCTTGCTCTCTCTGAATAAGAATTAAGTCCCCCGCATCCAAGACTAGGAACCTGAGTGTCTCTTCTCCAAGCTGTTGTCCTCCCATGCTAATGGAGATGATTAGGGCCTGACCTCCCACAGGCACTTTGTGGATTGACCATAGCCTACTGTCTTTCCAAACCCCATTAGATCAGGCTTACCTGCACACAAAACCAAATGTAAGATGCTTTCCTTGCATTCGTTTTATCCTTGTCATTTTTTCCCCCGTGTTCTCCTTTCGGTTCTGGCTTTACACCTAATTAGCCCTAGAGAGACACCCCAAGCTCACTGCAGCCCACCTCCTGCCTTGCTTCACCCATCTCAGTTATCTCTGGCCCAGCTTGACACTTATTTGCCATGACCCGCGGTGTCTGCCTCCACCTTCTCTTTGCTGGACCTGATGGGAAGTTGCTGCGCTTAATCCACCCTAGGTGCCTATGAGAGGAGACTGTGGATACATGTGTTTTCACCCCTGTTCTCCCCCTTTCTGTGAGCAGATGACCCAGCCGCCCAGCCCAGTCTCTTCCAGGGGGAGGAGAACGAACCCCGAGTTCCAGAGCTTCAGGACCTCCAAGGAAAAGACTTGCCCCAAGTGTCCTACCTGGGTGAGTAGGGGAACAGGTGGGGCACGGCGTCGGCTTTGCTGGAGGCAGGCCCGCTCCCTGCTCTCCCTAACCGAGAGGCCTTCAAACCATCTGAGCTTTATCATGACAGAACACGTCTTACTGTAACCTTGACTCCTAGTAGAAGGAATGTGAGAGCCTCATTTTGCCAGGGGTGGGGATTTTACTCTCAAGCAGGGACTAGGAAATAATGGGGATACCTTTCTCACCTAGTTCATGCTAAGGATCCAGTGATTCCTGCATGAGTAAACACACATGTTCACACTGAGCCAAGCTGGGAAAGGGCTTGCCTCCCCCACACTCAGGGCACCTCTTCCCAAATACCCTGAGGTAAAGTTTGCACCCATCACACAGCAGGTGCTGTTGGGAGGTGCTGGTCCCACACTGTTCAGCACCCCAGCAACCCCAGACCTCACCACAGGACATTCTTGTGTTTGCAACCATTATAGCGGTACCTTGAAATCCTTGCTCCTTCAGAGGAAATAACCCTGCACAGATCCGCAGCACTCCCACGCCTCTTTCCATTTGGGGGACCTGAAGCTGGAATGCAGTGGACCAGGTTTGGGCACACTCTCTGTGACCTTGAAGGAAAGTGCAGCCTGGAGCCCCTCTAGTACGTTAGTCTCTGCCAAGGAGGCACAGGTGGTGAGGTTAGCAGGCCTGGAAAAACAGATGTACCTAGGTTTCTGGCTGTAAACCCATTCATTCATCTTGTGAGCTTATTCACTCAACACGCTCCACTGAGTGATGGGCTGCCAGGCACTGCAAGCACCATGCCTCTTTTCAAATCGCTGCCTAGGCTTTATGATGATGGTTCCCCGAGGTAATGCTACCACATTTCAGGACAGATCATTTTCTCATTTTTCCCCACCTCTGAAAAGACTTTCAGGGTCTCCAGTCGTTCCAGGTAGAAGAAAGAAGGAAAAATGAGCTGCAGGTACCAGAATTCCAGGCCTGCCAACAAGGAGCGCTTTATCAAAGCACCAGCGCAGGTACATTGAGGGAGTGAGGTGGTGGTGGTGGTGGTGGTGGTGGTGGTGGTAGAACATTAACTCTAAAGAGTCTACAAACGCCCAGTAAGCTCATGTCTGTTGGCAAAATCAACAATGACAGTTTCTTTTGTTAGGCTCTCTCTCCCAACCATTCGCACAAGGTCAAAGACCTCTCCCTCTGTGCCTTTCCTGTGAACACTGAGGCAGAGTACTATTTGCTGTGTGCTGGGTATATTTTCTTCTTTTCCCTGAGCAAGGAAGAATTAAAGAATTCCTGGAATGCCAAAGGTGAAAGGGAATTTGAGAGTGACTAATCCATTACTGTCTGCAGGGGAGTGGCTACCTTTTCAGTTCACATCATCTTGGTAAGAGTTGCCACCTCCAGAGGCAAAAACAGACCAAACAGAATTCCAGCCCTGGTTCTGACTTTCTCCTCTGAGTAACTCGGGACTCTACTTCTCATTCAATTGAACTCGACAGCTTCAGAGGCCCGACTGTCCTTGTCGCTTTCACTGGTGCCTTTTGAAGGCAAGATTTGTGAGTTATTTCCACCTGGCACTGCGCACTCCCCTAGCTGTGGGTGCTTCCTGCCAAAATGGGTGGACAAGGGATGGTACAGTGTAGTAAGCTGCCTACAGAAGGGTGAGCTCCCAAGTGCTGCCTGAGTTGACTCTCGGGTCCTAACACAGATTCATTCTGCATGCCAGTAGTCATTGTTAGTTAGCCAGCTCTGAGTCTGTATGAATTCTTGGTGACACGAATTGTTTTAAATCCTCTGACTGCTGACTGTCTGTGGCCTGCCTTCTGGGCCTTCAGCCTACTTTGTGAAAGGGGGTGCTCATGGACAAAGGGACGTGTTCAACTCAGTTCTCCTTTACTGAGTCTGCTCCGAAGTGGCAAGAAGCTGCAATCTATCTGAAGAAAAAGAAATGGTGAGGCCAGGAGGGCCATCTTTCTTCCTTTCTTTCATCTATCTGTTTTGCGGCTGCCAACTGCCTTCCAAAAATGCTTTCTCATGAGCCCACACTCACAGCATGGAGATTTCTGCTTCGCCACATCTGTGTTCGTGAAAGATGTGTCTCATCTGTGCAGTTTGTGCCTATCTGATGAGGATACTGTATCATCTGCCTCTGGGATTGAGCATCTTCTTGTGTTCTGTTGTGTTTTCTCTATGAACTGCCTACTTAGTATTCTTTCCTTTTGTGATTTTTTCCGTTCAGATTTATTAAGCTCTGTTTTTGGCCCCAGCACTAAGCTAGGGGAAGCACTTCACAGCGTTTCATGCCTTGCATTCTGTGACAGCTATGTGACTAGGTGCTATCCGGTCTCCATTTTGCATGGGGGGCAACTGAGGTTCAGACAGCTCAAGTGGCTTGTCCAAGGCCACACATTTACAGGTTGTAAGGGGCAGAGCCAGGATTTGAACCCAGGAGGTTAGCCCTGAAACCCTTGTTCTTTTCTACCCCTTCATATTATGGACGTGTTTTTTTTTTAAACTGGTGTCTAGAAACTCCAAATTATTCATTGTTACCCTTCCCACCTATCTTTACATGTAATTTTTCCATTTTCAAAATGCTCTCCATGTGCCTTTCAGCACCCAAACATTTAACTCAGTCATCGTGTCCATTTTGGTTTGTGTCATGCCTTAAGAAAGTCTACCTGAAGCTAGAAGGAAATTCTGTATTTTATTGTTTGCTTTCACATTTAGTGTTTGATCCTTTCCCCTGGCCCCAAGCCTTACTTCTCTCCTTAGTTTCTTGAACATCCCCAGCCCAGAGGGTGCAGTTTGGGGGCTTTAGCCTCCAGCCTGGCCTTGAGCCATTGCTCTTATCTGTAGGCAGCAGCCCAGCCCATCACTAGTCTCGTTCCTGCTAGGAGATGGCAGAGCACAGTCCCCGGCTCTGTTAACCTCCCTGCTTGGGCTCAATTTTCTCAAGATCTTGGACAACTCTTTCTCTTGTCTGCGAACATTTTTCTGTAAAACAAGGAGAGTCCTGCAGAGAAGAGCTGGGTTCAGGCAGAGCCCTGAACCAAGGGTGCAGGTGGGCGGGCGAGGACTCTGAGCACGCACTTCCTGGCTGTCCATGTTCAGCAGGATCACCTGCCCTGCATTGTCTCCCGTGACCACCATCCGGCTGCTGGCAGACACATCCAGGCTGCAGAACCAGGCACTGGAGGGGGTAGGTGGGGGGTGCTGTAAGGTTCTTGGGGACAAGGCCAATCACTGCCACAGCTCCAGTGCCCACACACCATGGGCATTCAATAAACATTTGAGGAATGAGTTTGAAAAAAAAAACAAAAACAAGGATAGCCATTACAGCTGAATTTTATAGAGTTATCGTTGAGCCTTAAATAACTTTGTAATATTTATAAAAGCACAAACAGCATCCATGTGACATTATCCCAACCGTCCATTCAGAGACTATTGTAATTTTCAGGTTGAGCTCAGAACTCCGTGGGGCTGTCCATCTGTGATGTTTTAGGTACACCTCTCATATACCTTGTCTCTTCAAGGACTGCCCCACATTGTTGCGTTGATGGTACATAGCAGCATGATTGTTGCTTTATCCCTCCCTCACATTATCCCTGCCCCCACCCCCCACCCCACAAAAAAGTAATTCACTTGTCTTCCATAGCTTTTGATCTTCCCAGTCTTATTGTTTCTCTCAGTCCTGCCCTCTAAGTGGACTGCTGCATTACCTGCGGACAATCAGTGCCCACACTCCATTTCTCTAACCAGCCTGAAATCTTGCTTCAGTAATTAAGCCCAGACTAACCCTCTGACTAGCTAATGTTTCAGAGAGCAAGCATCTTTCTGCCCTGTTTTGTCTTAATTTTGATGCCAAGATCTGAGACCCTCCTTTTAAAATTGAAAAGTGTGTGTTGGTCCCGAGCTGCACCAAGACCTCAATCTCTCTCCTCCTTTGCCACCTGTGCCTTCTCTGTGGTACTCTTTTTCTCATGTAACAAACAGGGTGCATTGAGCAAGCTGCTTTGTAAGTGGGAGTTCCCTCGGTAACCCGCCTAAGCCCTATAATCCAAAACATCTGCATCCACAGGCCCCTTGGTGGCTATTGGTGGACATCAGATATGTGGGAGCATTGAGAGGGAGAGATCTTGATGGATGCAGCCAGGGACCATTGAGCATCTTTGGGCCAGAGTCCTACTTCTACTCTGTGACCTTGGGCACATCGCCTTGGCTTGCTTATGAGTGTAATGCAACAGATAACATGTCATTGACTTGTGTCCTAGAGCAGATAGGCCTGTGCAGTTCGCAGAGAGTAGATGTGTTCAGCCCATAGTAACTGGCGCCTTTGTGGAACTCTGTTTATAAAATGAGCCCTCCTGCTCCCCCAAGTCCAAGGGCCTTGGTGGTGCAGTGGACCAATAACTGTAACTATAATAAGATTGGTGATTCACGTTGACCATCAGCTCCATGGGCTCTCCGTAAAGATTTACAGCCTCAGAAGCCCTAACCAGAATAGTAGTTCTACTCTGTTTGTAAGGTCACAATGAGTTGCAATCAACCAGACTGCGATGAGTTTGTTTTTTTCTCTCTCCCAAGGCAAGGACCCCGGGTAGCAGGTTAAGCCCTAGGCTACTAGCTGCAAGGTTGATGGTTCAAGTCCACCAGGCTATCTGTCAACTTCCTTAAAGATATGCAGTGTCGGAAATTCAGTTCTGTTCTGTCCTATTAGGGCTACGATGGATTGGCCTTGACTCAATGACAGTGGACTGGGTTGAGCTTTTCTCTGCAAGTTCTTTAGTGGGAAAAACAGAATTCCTGCTAAGCTTGGTCAAATAAACTATTGATAAGTTACATATACACTTAAATACAGATGTAGCGCGTAATGGGGCTTCAGTGATATGAACAAAGGAGTGGCTTGGGACTTCAGAAAAGGCAGCCGGGGAGAGGGAGAAAGAAGAAAGAGGTAGATCCGGTGATCCCTCGGGCCATTCTAAGGGCTGTTTCTCAGTCCAGACCAGGGTCCCTGTCTGAACTTCTTTAAATGTTTTATCTACAAAACATTTATACTGTAATCTGCCCCCAGGGAGAGCATTCTAAGGATGGGGATTTCTAGACCCCAAGCCAAGCTTCCTAGTAGGATCTCGGGGTGGGGGGGCGTGGTTGGCTGGTCTGGCACCTCAGATCTCAGTGCTGATTTCCCCCAGCAGGTGGCAGTGTGCTGTCCCCAGAGAACGGCCTCGATGAGGAGGTGTCCATCGAGATTGTCCTGTCCAGCTCAGGCGAGGAGGAGCCCCCGCACAGCCCATACTGCCCCGACGAGCTGCGGGGTGCCACCGAGAAGCAACACGTCCTCCCCACCACCCACCGCAGCAGCTCCGTGGGCTTCACAGATATGGGAGATGAGGTGCAGGCCTCCTCCAAGAAGTCCTATGTCTGCCCCAACTGTGGGAAGATCTTCCGCTGGAGAGTAAACTTCATCCGGCACCTTCGGAGCCGCAAGGAGCAGGAGCAAGCGCACGAATGCTCCGTCTGCGGTGAGGTGTTCAGCGACAGTGAGGACCTGGACGGGCACCTGGAGACCCACGAGACCCAGAAACCTTACACTTGCAAAGCCTGCGGGAAGAGCTTCCGCCTCAACTCCCACCTGCTCTCCCACATGCGCATACACCTGCAGCCAGACAGACTTGAGCCCACGGAGGAGAAAGCGCCAGGGCCGTCGGAACAAAAGGGCAGCAGCCCCAACTCCCTGCTGGAAAAGAGCAAGGGCAAGTTGAGCTTCAAGTGCTGTGACTGTGGGAAGGCTTTCCAGCGACACGATCACCTGGTCCGGCACAAGAGCAGCAGCCACACCGAGGACAAGGCCAGAACCTTTCAGTGTCGCTATTGCGTCAAACGTTTCCTGCAAAACTACGACCTCATCCGCCACGAGCGGTTGCACATGAAGAGGCGCTCTAAGCAAGCTTTGAACTCCTACTGATTCTTCCCTCGGATTCCTCCTTCGGTGCATCCCCTCCCCGTCTGTCCTGCTCCAGACAGCACATCCCACTCACTCACAGTGGTACTGACTCGCCCCTTGCCCCCACGACACACCTCCCCAAGGATGGAGATCACCTCATGCCCTTGCTCTCAGGTAGTGTCCACCTTTTGCCTGATGCCGCCACAGTCTCCCAAGTAATGGGAGAGTAGCCGGCTGAGTATGTGTTCTGCCTCTGGTGCCAGAAAGCAAGGAAGGCGTGCCACCATCAGCTTCACTGACAAAGTGGCTGAACAAGCCCAGTGTTAACTAGCCAGTCTTACAGATCCCATCCAGTGCACAGAGCTAGTGGGGTGCACTGGGCAGGCTCCCTTCATAATGACCTCCCCTGCCATGCCAACCCCTCACCCCCCGATGCCTGTCCTTTGCCAGCTCACTCTTGATACACTACCTCCCATCATCCTTTGTCTGAACCCCCCCAGATCCTGAGGTTCTGAGGGTGGCTATAACTTTGTATTTGACATTGAAAAGCTGTCTGCTGGGTAGTGGGTTAGAAAGAAGGCAGTACTTCATGCGGAGGAGAGACTGGAAGGAGACAGGGCGAGGTGAGCAGTGTCTTCTGTAGTCTAAGCTCCAGGAGGAGACTGATCCTTTGTGCCCTGTGTGCACCATCCCACGCAAACACCCCCACAGACCTCACAGTTGTCAGGTGGTCTTTGCGGCTGGCAGGCCTTAGTCGTGGGCACTAGAGCCTCTTGCAGAATAGAACCCATAGAGCCCTTATGACCTTATGATTTGTCCTGACAGCCGGTTCATACGGATCATAAGGTCCTCAAGGATGAAGCCCACATTTTAAACTTTATGTAGCACACCTTCCCCAAAATGCCTATTATCTGAAACCCACCTCTACCCCCACCCCCACCCCCAGAAGAAGAAACAACTCACTGCCACTGTGTCCATTCTGACTCATAGTGACCCTCCTGGCGGACGGACAGAGTAGCAAGAACAGCCCCTTTGGATTTCTGAGGCTGGGAATCATTTGGGAGTAGACCTTGCTGTTAGCAGCCCAATGTGTAACTCACTACACTACCACGTCTCCTGAATCCCACAAGCCCTTGGTAAATGTTTGGGGAATGGGAATCAAGCTGTGCTGTCATCATTTGAAGGTACTTAAGATCCTCCATTTCCTTTCACTCTGTCCTAAGAATCAGCTATTACTGAGGGGGTCTTTGGTCAGGATGAGCTGAGCAGTTCTCCCCAAAGAGGAGAAAATGTCATGGGAGTCCGATTTTACTTACCTGGGTAGTAACAACCCGCTGCATCCCTGATAACAATCCTTATCCCTGATTCATCGTCAGTAGCTGGTTATCCCATGACTGCTTTCCAACCCTGGATTATAGCTCTTATATCTGCTTGCAGGGCCAATGTCCTCGGCAGACAGGAATTTGTTTATTGTTTTTGAGAATATACACAGCAAAACACCAATGAACTGTTTCCACATTGACAGTTGTTTAGTGACACAGATTACACTCAGGTTGGGCAACCCTTCTCACCCTTATTTTCTAAGTCGTTCCTCCCCAGTTGACATGAACTTAGCCCTCCCTGAGGTTCCTCTCCACTCTATGGTTGCTGTTGTCACTCGATCCCATATAGATAGTTCTTAAAGAGAACACAGTGCTTACACCCTGCGTGGACAAATCGTAACTATTAGCCTTTAAAGTTGTGGACGGGGAGTGACCATTTACAGTGAAACTTTGAGCAGTCATGCCACCTCGTTTAAGACATTGCCTTACTGTTTCCTAGGGGAGTTCCTGTTTGATGGAAATGTTAAGTGCTTGACAGTTACTAGCTGGAAGGTTAGTAGTTCTAACTCATCCAGAAGCCCCTTGGAAGATAGGCCTTGTTGCCTGCTTCTAAAATGGAACAGTTTTGAAAACCCTTTGGAGCACAGTACAATGTATACCTGAGGTCCCCTTGAGTTAGAATCGGCTCGATGGCAAGTGACAATGTTCCTGAGAGTGAATCTACTGAGCTAGGGTCGGGGATGAAAAAGCATCTGGGTTGTAGTATGGTAGCTGTAGCTGGATTTGAACGCCAGTAACTAAGCAAGGACTTTTGTATTATTTGTGTATCAAATCTTTTCCTTGAAGAGTAAAGGTAGGAAATGGAGAGTGAGGTGTTCTTTGACTTTTTCATCTACAGATTTTTTTATGATTGCAAGTCCCAGAAGCCCCTGCCCTAACCCTAATGAAGGAGTTTTATAAATATACCTGCTGTTCTTGTGTGCCTATGCACACAGAAACAGTAAATGCAATAAAACCATTGTCAGTCTTTAAACATGAAATAAACTACTGGGGTGCTGAGTTTCTAAAGAGTTTGCCTTTTTTATTGGTCTGCCTAAAAATGGGAGAACACTCTACTACCAAGGGAGAGAAAACCCTTAATTGGAAGCAAGGTTCTTTGTGCACTTCCCCATCCATGTTATGTGTTCTTGTGGATCCTAGTGCCTCCATGTCCCTGGGGAGATAATGACCCTCATTCCTCAAACTGATGGTCCTGAAAGAGGATCCTTGCTCTGCTTGTCACTGCATTTTGCATGTGAAGTAAGATCTGAAATGAAAGGAAATGTTAGGAAAGGCACTGAAATTAAAGTGTCTCGAATTCCCACCAAATGTTCTGGGGGAGATTCCCTGTTTGTTGATCTAAAGTTGACCTAACAGAAAGCCACAGTACCGAATTAGTCTGAAGCTTCATGTGATGCTTTTTAAATTGCCTTTACATATAGAAACATGCCTGAATCATGTAGTTCTGATCCCAATTATTCACATGAGAAGAGAAAACTTCAAATTAAGTCTTCAACAGGACCAAGACAAAACATCCCAATGAAGGAGACCATCAGCATGAAGCCCAAGGGGTCCCAAACACCTGACCAATGAAATAGAGCATTAGGAAAAGCCACAGGTGGGGAAAGGGAACATGGTTTGCAGGTTAGAAATGTTTGTAAAATTGGCTCGGGGCCCTTGACAGAGGTCGTCAGGGTGTGACCCAGGACTGTGGCCCTTTCCATCAATGGTCCACCAAGCAGGTCCCTGAAGGTAAGTGCCTCTCCCAGGGCTGGCGAGGAGTGGTGGTAAGCTGTTCACATTGCTGGTCAGAACAAGTAGGAGACTGAATCTGTCAAGACTCAAAATGGATTTTGGGCTTCTGTAAACCGTAGCCTTTTGCAAACACGGTACTCAGAATTTAAACTCAAATAAAGGAGGCTGTCTACGGGGCAGGGGGGGACAGTTCCACCACTGCTCCAAAGGAGATGCTGGAGTCTGGCCCGACCACTGGATTCCTCCCTCCCTGTCCCATCACAGGGGTTGGGACTTCTCTACCTTGCCCTGGAGGTTTAGTCACCCCTATTCCCTTCTCCAGGCCTGTTTCCACAAGTCTACAGGTGCATGACATGGAATTAACAAGGAGTTAACATTAGCTTTCGATTTGTCCTTGTGATTGTTAAAGTGTGACAGAACGCAGCAGCGAGAATACAAAGTAGGCCTGACAGGGAAGGCTGGAGGCACAGCTGCTCCTCTGGATTGCATACATTGTCTATTTCGTTTTTTCATTAAAACATCATTTTATTGGGAGCTCTTACAGCTCTTATCACAATCCATACACACCTCCATCATGCCAAGCATGTTTGTACATATGTTACCATCATTTTCAAAACATTTACTTTCTATTGAGCCCTTGGTATCAGTTCCTCTTTTTCCCTCCCTCCCCCACCACCCTTGTGACCCCTTGCTAAATTATAAATTATTTTCATATCTTACACCAACCACTGTCTGCCCCATGGTTTGGTTACACACATTGCCTTTTGAGATTGTTAAAATGTGCAGTCTGGTCATGTGGTCCAGCCTTTCCCTAGAAGCGAGAGCACTTCTCTTAGAGTTGGAGTGGGGCCAAGATTGACCCCTGGCCATTTTTTTTTTAATTTTTTATTTAATATTTTATTAGGGGCTCATACAACTGTTATCCCAATCCATACACACATCAATTGTGTAAAGCGCATTTGTACATCGTTTCTCAACCCCTGGCCATTTTTATAGCTCCCCCACTTTTGCAGCTCATTCTCAATGAAACTTCTTTTTAAAAGAGCATGCATGGTGAAAAGATCCCTCCTCAGTCCCACAATGGAGTCAACGAAGGAGCTAAACCAGCCACATGACTCAAATTCCAGCTTTCAGAGCTGTGAGCCAAGTTACTTCTCACCCATGAGATGGTTTTCTTCCTCTGCCAAAAGCAGAGCTTAATCTAAGCACAGAGCACGTCTGCTTATAAAATTAGATACCTAAACCCACTGCCATTGCATGTTTTTTCTGACTCATAGTGGCCTTAGGTGGGATTTTTCTTCTATCCCCCTCCCCCATAGTCCTACTCCTTCTACCCTTGGCATCAACCATTCCCCATTCAGCAGCCCTGCGCCTCCTCAACCACTGCATCCTCTGAGAAGCTTTTCCAAATCCACCTGGGGAGAAGCAGGAAGGCGGGCTGAGAAGAAGGCTCTGGTACCCTCCATCCCTCTCACCCCCACAAAACACACACAGTCTCTACTCCTACAAATCATCAAGCCCCCTGGTCAATTGTAAACGCCAAACTTTGGGTGCAACAAGGGGTTAAAACAAAATAGCAGTTGCAAGGGTGCTGCAGGACTGCGCAGTGCTTCGTTCTGTTGTACACAGGTCCCTATGAGTTAGAACCGACCCCCAGTATGGAACAACAAACCAAGTCCTGGTGGTCAGCATCAGAAAGTGATGCACATGCAATTGGGGTTGCATTTGAATTACAAATGGATTGATTTTATTTCCCACTCAACTTTGAAATAGGACAAGAGAGGTAGTCTTTTGGGGGAAAAGACTTGTTTTACCTGGAAATGCTTAAGTATTATTATGCTCACTACCCAGACCTCTCCATGACTCACTCAGAGACACTCCAGCTTCCCCCCATCATCCAAGGACTTCGCAAAGGACACCTTGCCTTAGCGTGGCTTCCTTAGTTTGGAGAGTCAATAGATCCATCTTAACTCCCGGGTGCCACCAAGCTGATCGGTCCCCACCTTCCTGCAGTGAGGCCTTTCTCTGAGGGATGCCAAAACACTGCTCTGGGGAACTTTCTTTCAAGAGGACTGCATCAAATGCTCAGGCAGAGATCTGCTTTCTAGTATGCTGTATCTAAGGTGTCCTTTGTCTCCTGGCTGTTGACTTGCTGATAAGACTGAATCTCCTAGGTGACTTTTGCATCTGTCTACTGATAGTTTGTTGTTGTTGTTACATGCTTTTGAGTTCTTTTCAACTCAGCAGCCCTGTGCACAACAGAACGAAACACCACCCAGTCGGGAGCCATCCTCACCAATGTTCTTATGTTTGAGAACCCATGCCTAACTTTTGGTTGAGTTCAGTCAGCCAGGGGTCCAAATGGCCCTTGTCATCAGGGTTCTCTCTAAGGTGGGCTGCTGGGTAGCCACCCAATGTGGAAATCACAATTTTATTTTCTTTACCCTTTCTTAATGCTCATCTGCACTACAGCATATTCTTTATTTTTATTTTTGTTAATCATTTTACTGGGGGGGAGCGCTTACAAATTTTATGATAATATATCATTCAATTGTATTAAGCACACTTGTACATCTGTTGCCATCAACATTTCCAAAATATTTTCCTTCTACTTGAGCCCTTGGTATCAGCTCCTCTTTTTCCCCCTACCACCCCTGTGAATCCTTGATCAATTATGTATTATTGTTGTTATTTTGGGTCTTACATTGTCCGTTGTCTCCCTTCACCCACATTTCTGTAATTCGTCCCTCTGGCGGATGGGCTATATATCCAACCTTGTGATGGATTCCCCCTTTCTCCCTACCCTCATGATCTCGCTTCTCCCACTACTGTTCCTGAGGGTTTTATCTGTCCTAAATTCCCTGTGTCGAGAGCTCTTATCTGTACCAGT